CCACTCGGACGCCGAAGTATGACAGTCCTCCATGTGAGCGACAACTGCTTGGGCTTGACATATGCTTAGCGTCGGGACCAACAACAGACAAAAGATTATTAAGATTTGTATGCAGTCGGTTACATGGACAAAAAGTTAGAAATGTTATATTCCATTTGTTTGAAATACACAGTCTTTGTCAGTCCCGATCGCCAAATTGCCGAAATATGCGTCCTGGCCTATTGGCCTCAAATTCCGATATAACAGAATTGAGGGACATACAACTATGCAGGATATAAAGTAAATATTAACCACACAGAGAATTATGTGACTCACGTAGCATGTGTGATGGGACTGATCCCATAGCACCACCCCCACCTAAAAATGCGTTTACTTATTCCGACTCTAAGACTCGGTAACTTGTGATCCCGCACGAAATGAAATGCAACGATGACGATCACAGAGCAAATTTGTACCTCAGCTCGAGTATGCGGAGGCGTCGTTGCCACCATCAAACATGAAGAATGCTTCAGTGTCACGACGAATAGCGCTTTCGCACGTTGAGCTAACCTGGCATCAAATGACCAGCTAGGGTGGATGACGACTATTATAAAAAAATCATTGACGAGATCGGTCGTCCAGTGTATATGCGCTACCGCGAGATTAGAAGTCGTCATGAAGTACACGACCGACGTGATGGTGCCACCATAGAGTTCGACGAGTGGTTTACTCGCATGAAAGTTCAAGTGATGACTTGAACCTCGTATTCTCGTTTTCGCATCATCGGCCAGTTACACGCGCTAGAGGAGAACCAAGAAGTCTCATGAACGTACCGTAAATCAAGCAACAACCTGCATTCCTCCGACAATCGACACTCGATTCTGGACATGAGTTCGTGCAACCAAATCCGTGGATGTCCACCGTTTCAAAAATGCAAATACCTCTGCAGGCGTCTTGATGATACGCGATATGCGCTTTTGGTCTAATTAACAGCGCAAGATCGATTTCACTCTGATATCAAAGATGCTCGCGAAGTACGTGTGATCAATAGTAGAATCCACGACGAGAGAGAGAGAAGAGGAGAAAGCGGAGCCCGTCGTTGGACCTAAGTCCAACGCGAGAGCAATATCGATACAGCTACAAAGAATACGATGATGCTCTCACGCATTCTCGCTTGCTGGATAATTCAGACATTTCACCAAGAGCTCCTTCCGACCTCAGACGGTCCTCTCCGCCACCACATTCTCGACATGGTAGTTTTGATCTCCATGTTGATCGAGACAAGAGGGAGGTGCCCAAAGAGTGCGTTTTCTCTGCTTCTTCTGTGGCTGCTCGACAGTCTTGGTCTGTTTTAAAATTGCGACTGATTCGAGGGTGCGACAACGCGAGAAGAATACTTGACGGGTCGTCTGCGAAGTTTGCGATCTCGCATGGCGACATGGAAACTCGTCTGGGAATACAATCAAGAATTGGATTCGGAGACTGGAGCAGACTCCGCAAGTTCTCCCTCCTGCTGCGGCTGCTGCCGCTGAAGATACAGAGCCTCTTGCCAAGCGACCTCACTCTGGTCCTTCCCTTAGTAATTTCCCACGCAATCAGCAGCCATCTGCTTCTACGACTCGCTATCGTTCGTTTGGTTCCGAAGTTCACGATGATTCTCATTATATTGACGGCGGTGCTGAGGCGATCATGCCAAGGGGGTTCGGCTTTTGACCTTTGTGCCGAAGCTGGGGTTCTGACGCCATATTCGTACGCCCTTGCGTTACATCCAGTTTGAAAGTCGTG